AAGTCCAGAGCAGATAAAACACTTTACAGTCAACCCTCACTAATCAGGAGTAATTTGGGAAGGGGGGGGGGCATCTGGATTAAGTGATAAACCAGATTAGTGAAGCAAAAGGTACCACTAAAAGACAAAAAAAAAAAACTTAGAACACAAATAAATGGAAAATTTAATGATATAAGTTGTGCTGATGAAAATAAATAAAAAATATCACTGTAGAGCCTATATTTAAAAACTATAAAAAGATAATATATTTATTCATTAATAGAAGACTCAGAAGTTGTACTTGTTTTTGAACATAATTATGCAGGTTTGAAGAACCTGTCAAGTTTTGTTTGAACAGATGAGTGACTCATCTGTCTTCCTAAATGACATATGTCTTTTAACAAGTATGTACTCAACTGTGAAGAGAATTTTTCACTTTTCATATTTCAATCCACATTATCTGACATCCAGAATAGTGAGGGTTTACTGTATTTGGTACAAAGAGAAGCATTTCTTGCAAACAGGAAGGACTGTGGTCTCTCTTATTTCACAGCCTTCACTTAAAACCCAGAGCTGAACTAGGAATGTTTCAGTTCAAAGGCTAACCATCACAGGATTTATTCTGAATGCTCGCTTCATCCACTGTTATTAAAAAGACAGAATATAAACTGACACTACCTTCTGGGATCCACAGTGAAGTCTGGTGTACTCTTTGACTCTGAAGATGGAGGCAGTACTTTCCTCCAAAACATAAGCAGATCTCTACAATACTTCATAACGTCAAATCTAGAAGATAGCACTCTTCATGACCTCAGTTCTAACAAAACAGACCGTTTGGGGCACAGGCATGAAGATTCTGGCTTGATGTGAATGTGAAACCATGTTAAATGATTAAGTGTCAGTATTCTTACCTGAGAACACACAAATGAAGGGAGCACAAACAGAGACGCCGCAAAAGGAAAATAACATGGAATGGAAAGAGAGAGTTTTATTCTCAAAGAAACATATTTAATGTGAACAACGATAATGCAATAGCATGAAAATATATTTATTTATGATCAGTGCAGTGCGACAGTTTCAAAGAGTGAACAATTGCCTGAAGATGGCCAAGACGGGCCGAAATATTTAGCAACTGATGTGATTTTAATGTAATTTTACATTAGAGAGAGATTGTATACAGTTTTAAGTTGCATTAAAGACAGAGATGAGTGAATGAGCGGTACATCAGTGCAACAGGATGCCCAAATATAATATTTTTACCTGAGGTTATAAAACATACTACACAATTCTGAATGATATGATGAAGTCAATAATGGAACAGGTTTTTTTTTTTTAGTGGAGTGAGACTGAGTCCACTTGGCACTGTGGCCACTACTGGCCTATTTATTGTACCAGCCCCAGATGATACATGATGGTGTTTGTGGAGTAACTGGTGGAATGAAGATTGGCAGGGGAAACCGAAGTACTTGGAGAAAACCTGCCCAGTGCTACTTTGTCCGCCACAAATCCCACATGACCCATATTCTCCTGACCTTGGCACTAGCACCCATTGGATAGGAGGCTGGGTGGACCCCAGAACTGGTGTGCACTAAGTGGAAAAGAGAAAATTCTTGACCCTGCCAGGACTCAAACTCTGACCCCTTAGTCATCCAGCCCATAGCCAGCTGCTGTACTGACTGAGCTATCCCAGCTCCCATATGTAGCAGGTACCTATTCAAATATCGGCTGGACTACTGGATTCCACCCTTCTCCACGCAAATGCTGAACAGCATCTGTGAACAGTGAGCAGCCTGTTCCTTCCAAATTCTTTATCTCCTCACCATTCATGACCATTTTCATACCTCGCCTGATGTTATGTATCCTACAGTTGGAGGAGCATGGCAAAAATAACATAAGAATTAATCAAATTACTCAGCCAAGTTCACACAATTACATGGTTCGTTACTGTTTTCCATCTGAACACAACTATTCCCAGAATCTCATCCACATCTAATGTGTACAGTATGAATGAGATTTTGATAGCTGTTGTGTTGAGATGGAAAACAATATCAAAGTATAGCTAATAATACAAGTTCAACCATCAACACAACAACTTTTGTTAATTTGGGTTGCACTACATGTTTCGACCCTTAAAGGGTCATCTTCAGGTGTTTTTAGTTACACATAATTACATTACTGGATTGCGACATGAGATCCCTATATTCCTATTTTAATTAATTAATAAAAGTTGTTGCATTGATGGTTGAACTTGATTATCTGTTGTACTTACGCAAAAGGATGCAAACAATAAAAATAAATCTAATGAAGTATAGGTTTTCACAACAGGATGCATTCCTTGAAAATTGCATGATGATGAAGCTATGTAAGCCACAGCTCTAGGTTTCAGTTAAGGTGTGAACGAGATGCTACAGCCTACCTTGACGTGATTCAGTTGCACTACTCTTGCAAGCTTTTGGGGCAATAAGTTAAAATATACTATCACAGCATTCAAGATTTTTCATGTTTACATTGTTATAAACTGATATATCTTAATATTTATTGAGTGATCATTTATTTACTTTGGAGTTCAATTAATTTGAGACTGCTTCAAAATTGACAAAGGGAAATATTGACGGCAGTAGTTACTGAAGTGCCCATGACTGACAAATGTTTGATTCTTATACTTCTGAGCCCTCGGAACATTGATCCCAATTGCCACACTTCTTAACATCATTCAGTCATGCCACCTTTTCTTTTATCTACTTATTTCCAGTCTTTAAGTAGACATATGTTTATTGTACTCTTTACAGTATTAACAGCTTTTAAAAATGAATACAGTGTAAGAAATACTGAAATATCAGATATCAAGAGGCAATTGTTGGTGCTCTCTGTGAGTACAGTCATAACCAAAATAGCAGATACAATTATTGACTTCTTACTGAAGTCATTTAAAAATGACTTCACAGACTGGAACTCTTGTCTTTGTCCTCAGGTAACAGCTTAACTCAGTTGGGCCAAATCTATAGGAACCAGTCCATATCTCCGGATCTTCGTCATATTACATGCCAGTTCATAATGCAAATACACCACTCACCTTAACTGCTGAAGTCCTGACTAATTCAGATCAAGTAGATGTTCACATGATGCACAGGTTATGCACATATTGATAACCCATCCTGGTGCCTAATTAAATCATTTCAAGTACGTCCATTCTCAATAACAGTCAAAACATGGAGTTGTTACTCATCAGAGAAACTGTAAGCTTTATATTGTATATATCTGCACAAAGTGGCACATCTTAAGATGTTTAAATTTGCAGCAGTTTGTTGTTACTGACTGCACAGAAATTATTGGTGTTGATCTGTCCCTGCAACTTTGCGCCACGTGCGTTTGGGCAGAATGACTGATGTTCTGAAGATACAGGCTGCCTCCATCTTCAGGGTAAAAGTGTGTGAAATGGCTTATCATCCTTCATGATGCGACATTGTGTAATTTTGTAACATGGTGTGACATCCCAGAAGACAGTACTCCCACAGTCATCTGCATGAGAACTCATAATCTCATGATTACAAAACCATTCTCCATAAACCTCAATAGTTCGGTGGGTTTTCATATACCTTATGTGGTATAAGAATAAAGAATAGGTTTCATCAAATGCAACAATTTTTAATATGACTAAAACCTTATTGCCTTGTTGCTACTGATGTAACTTATTCTTTATTCATGTTATAAAGTGTCACAGTTCAAGAAAATGTCTCTTACATGACAGTCTGGCCATGCCATAGCTCAGGCAATTAGTCGCCAGCTTCTAACTATGGTGGCCCAGGTTTGGGCCCAGGTCAGGTCATGTGGGATCTGTGGTGGACAAAGTGGCACTAGGGTAGGTTTTCTCCGAGTACTTCGGTTTCCTCTACAAATTCTCATTCCACCAACTGCTCCACACTCATCATCTATCATCCAGGGCTGGTAACAATAGGCCAGTTGGTGGCCAACGTACCAAGTGAACTGTCTTGCACCCATCCCAAGAAACTAAAAAAAACCTACATCACAGTCCAATTCTGTGCATTTCAATACATGATCAGGCAGCTCTTTCCAGCGCATATGTTCTCGTTCATGATAACTATTTTAGATGAAAGGAACAGAACTCTTAACACTTTGCGGACCACGCACCCTTTAAAAGGTTTTTCGCTTTTAAACATGGCAGACTGTTTGCATTTTAACAGGTTTTAGAAAACGATAAGTTGCAACACACTATACATTGCTCTGGCGCCACCTACATTGCACGCAACCGCCTGCAGATGCGTGATAAGACTCTGGAATGTTTAGTTAGCAGTCAGTAACTTGACCTCGCTGTTTACTTAACCGACTATAATGGAAAATGCTTTGCCTTCTTCAAGTTGTGTGTATCAGCCAGTAGCTAGTGGGCAGAATGGATCAAGGACAAATTCTCCTAGCTGACCTAGCTGACCTGCCTTGTGAGACACGTAGTAATGGATTAATTGTCATTCAGACAGCGACAGTGACGGGGGACAACAAAGAATTGTGGCCACAGACAGTAAAAGTGACAGTAGCTCTGACAATAATGCGGGTAATAACATTGCGGGGACAGCAAAAAATCTAAAAAAATCTAAACCCCGATTCAAAATTGAAATACAAAGCATTTCTCATGAATGTGGCAAAGGCCTGGGCTACAGTCCAGATGGTGACGGCAGAACCAGGGTCACACAAAGACTCAGTACGACTGGGCCCATCAACTCCCACCCCATGAAGGCCTCATGTGGACTCCCCAGGGCGACTCTTGAGTGATATGCGGAAAAATACCCTCGTGAAAATTGTGAAGAGTGAACATTCCAAGGGGAAGAATACTTCTAGACAATAAGGAGTATGTCTACATTTGCAAGTTCTGTGTAATGCCACTTCACAAAGGGGAAAGTTTCCAGAAATATCACACCCTCATGCACTTCTAGGAGCAATGATAAGTGTTCTCCAAAAATTTTAGTTCAAAAAATTAATTAGGTGATTTTATATTAATTTTTAAAGTGAACAGTGCACAAGTTAGGGTAGTATGTTTAAAAATGCTGGTCCCCAGGGTGATTTAAATATTTAAATCACCGGTCCGTGAAGTGTTAAGTAATATCTATTTTCTGTGTATCACATTACTGTGATGCTGCATGCACTGATTCAGAAGATCTTGGCACGTCCCAGCAGCCCACTCCAGAGACCTAGTATCACGTAGTTTACAGCACAAATCCACTTACCATCAAGTTTAAATCTGGCTGCCAGTGCAACAGCAATGAAAGATTTAAATCCTGATTATAATGGGCAGTTCAGTTACTGCTCAAACTTCTGCAAACAGCATCTTGCTTGACTGAATATGAGAGCATTGGCATGAACCACTCTGGTCACTGGGTCTACTACTATGGATATGACTGTAACCAGAATTTTGGTATATCCACTTCTAATCGCTGCAGTCTTTCAAAAGCTATTGCATCTCAAAACAATTTCTTATTTACTAGGCAGTCTATTATAAAAGCAGTGCACAAGAAAATAGACGAGTGTTTGTATTCATCATTAAAACCCTTTTTTTTTTGGTGAGTTCAGTTTTCTTTTTCTAATATAGACATTCAAACTTGAACACAGCAGCCACCTGCACACTCTATATTCATTCCAGTACACCAGACCTTGAATCTGAGCCTTCAATTTCACTTTCTATACGCATAAACAATCAACTATGAAGCTGTGTAAATTTGGCTTCCACCTTTCTGAGTATTTGTAACAGTCCATTAACACCCTGTGGACATAAAGAGTCGTATGACATGTAACCAGAGAACTTGGTTCGTTGATTTCATATTTTCACTTTCTTCCAAAGATCTTATGATGCAAGTTCACAGGAACTCCAAACAGCTGTAAATTACTTACAGGCCAAGACCAACACAGAAACTCTATAAGTACTCCTCTACTCATCTGACAGCAGTCATTTCAACACCAATTGAGTTAGATACATTATATTACAATAGATGTACACAGCTGCAAACAAATGCTACCCAATTAAATGGAACACTTATTTTTATTATCTCAGTTCACTGGGCAAAAACATATATACCAACTGTAAATAAGAAGAAAGCAGTTTTCTGGGATTTGGCACCATGTATATGTGGTGTTAACCGACGTTTCGTAGGAACATATCGCCACAGCAACATAGCTGTGTATATTTCCAACACAGTCTGCTTTTACCGGTTCTTACGATCTCTTCGCTTGCAGATTTCTTATATTTTTTTCTTCTACCCTGAAGATGGAGGCGATACGTTCCTCCGAAACGTCGGTTAACACCACATATACACGATGCCAAATCCCAGAAAACTGCTTTCTTCATAGTCACCGCCGTGAAAGCCTCAAATCTTACATGTAAATAAGAACATGGAAACTGTAATTTCTGAACTTTGTCCATTATTCAGTATTCTAAAAACTAGAGTCCCCTAGAAAGAGCTGATGTCACTCACTTTCTAAGGGCCCCAACAAAGTAGGCTTCTCCCACCTCATCTGAGGATGCAAACATATCCAGTTTTTGAAAAATTGTGCTTTCTAGCTTCTAGAATATGGGACAATGGACAAAGTCGAAAATCCAGTAATTCTGAGCATTCTACACTATCATCAGAACTCTTTAGAATCTGTGGAAACTGTAACATAGTAGCTGAGAGGACAGTCTAGAAGAAGACCCAAAGAAAACTATGTATGAGTCACCACGTCATGAGAATGCAGCGCAAAACCATAATGTCGCGTGTTGCCTATGTAACGCAGCAAATTACTTCATGCAGACCTCGGATTTGAGCAAATAAATTTATTGAATGCTCACTTTTACACCATCAAGTACAATTATTATCATGTTCAGTACCACAATTATTCTTGCACCGTTAATCTCAGTGTCATCTTATTTTGCAACTGTACTGCACATTGCACACTTTATATGTTCTCAGCGGCTATTAGACTGCAGTATACTGCAGTATAACACACGCAGTCACAGGAGCAAGACACAACACAAAGCACAATACACACATGAAAGTAGGAAGAATACTCCGAGAGAAGAAGATAGGTGTGACTCGCGTATTGAGATACGACATAAGGATGACAAATCCTGAACAGTTTTAATATTTTTAATATTTAAAATTTATCAATATATATGACGAATATATATTTTAGTTATATCAGTATAAAGACAATAGGGCATGCAATGAAGTAGTTCGACGTACATCGAAAAGCACCTGAAGATGGCACTTTAGTGCTGAAACATGTAGTGCAAGAGAGAAGAGTAAGGTGAATAAATGTATGCACTGTAAGACGGTCAGAATAAATCATGGACAGTACAGATATTTGGGAACAACTATAACAAATGAAAACCTGATTCAAGAGGAAATTAAGTGAAGACTGAACTCGGGTAATGCTTGCTACCATCCAGTCCAGAACCTTTTGTCTTCTCGTCTGCTGTCTAAGGACATAAAAATCAGAATATACAAAATTATGATTTTGCCTGTGGTTCTGTATGGATGTGAAACTTGGTCTCTGACATTAAGGGAGGAACATAGACAGAGAGCGGCCTCCATAGTCTAGGGGTAACGTTCCCACCTCATGACTCAAGGTACGTGGGTTCAAACCCGGCGGAAGTAGTGGAATTTTTAAGGGCGGAAAAATTCAGGGAACAAGTCCTTCGGGAGGGACTTTAAGCTGTAGCTCCCGTGTCGTAGATTTACGGCACGTAAAAGATCTTCATGTCTCTAGGAGACCTCTGAGCAAAATTAGGCAACAATTTCCCACACAAGTAGTTTCCAATGCCTCGGGTAGATGGGGGAAATATCAGATACCGACAACCGACCTCGTTGGCTGAACGGGGCTGATAGCACGCACCAGTACCGGTAGGGTATGGCGACAGTAGAAATTACAGGGGGACGCACAATGGACCAATAACTGGTCTAAGCACATGGGAAACCCATCCCCTCTAATAATAATAATAAGAAGAAGAATAACAACAACAACAACAACATAGACGAAGGGTGTTTGAGAACAGGGTATTGAGGAGAATATTTGGACCGAAAAGAGATGAAGTGACAGGTTGGCGAAAATTGCATAATGAGGAGCTACATAACTTGTACTCTTCTCCAAGTATAATTAGAATGATCAAGTCAAGGAAGATGAGATGGACAGGGCATGTAGCATGAATGGGGGAGAAGAGGAATGCATATAGGATATTGGTGGGAAACCCAGAAGGAAAGAGACTGCTGGGAAGACCAAGGAGTAGGCAGGTGAACAAAATTAAAATGGATCTTAGAGAAATAGGATGGGATGGTATGGGGATTGGATTGATCTGGCTCAGGAAAGGGGCCAGTGGAGGGCTCTTGTGAACATGGTAATGAACCTTCAGGTTCCATAAAATGCTGGGAAGTTTGTCAGTGGGTGCACAACTCACAGCTTCTCAAGAAGGGCTCAGCTCCATGAGTGATGATGAATGGTTCACTCAGCTGTTGACAAAAGCAACCTATGATACTTCACGTCCTATGTGAGCTATCAAGATATTCAATTCTATTTTGTATACTGTGCTTTGTTTAACGATGCAGTGAAGTTTAGTTCTTCCTTTTCATCTATACACTTAATGGGTTCACAAACTGTGACAACCATTGAGAAGTCTGTACAAAAATGTGTTGTCCTTTCTGTTCAGTTGAATGTTATTGCTGCTCCTAGGTCATGAATGACTATACACAGATTCTTTTATGGAAATTCTATATGTTCTTTGGTAAGGTGGAGACATCTTCACCTTACAGCTTATTCATGTGTCTCAGTTGTATGGTTGGAATTAATGGAATCTTGAGGGTTTACTGATGATACAAGAATAAAACTTGAGCAGAGCCCTAAGGGAGTTCCTTCAGATATCAATGGCTCATAGTTTTATCCAATATTAATTCTGTGGTGACTTTATTTTACTGTTCTGAAGTTTAGACATCATGCACAGAATAAATCTTTGGAAGAAATTGAAAAGCACATTAATGTGGAATTCTTATCCAATCAAGGAACACAACCTTACTTATTAAAGAAATATCAGACTCCACTTATTTCTGACTACTACCACAATCTTCCCCTACTGCTGACTTTGTATCTTGATCGTCTTGTCCACAAACCTTTTCAGCCTCCATCTCCTCTTGTTCTGGAGGTCCTGTGACATCCTTGTCAGCTTCTGGCTTTTCCTCAAATGTGCTTCGCAGCTCAGTCACATCGCTTCCTTCATAGAGCCTCTTCATGCCACGAGGCAGGGCTCGACAAGAGGACAGGTTCAGGGAGACCAGCAGAGGACAACGAAGCAGCACTGCCTTAACAGGACTCAGACTCACTGACGAGCCACACAGGTTAAGAACCCTGGATTGAGCATAATAATTTATCAACAAGTGACTCACAAACAATTCAGTGCTTCAACAATGACAAATTGAAAGGCATAACATCTACTAGGGTACATAGAGTTTCTGTATATGTTATTTCCCACTTTTCAGAAGGCAAAATAAAAGGTAAGGTAGCATTATCCCTGTAATTAATTATGACACTAAGCATCATGCCCTGAAGGTATATGGGAAAGTGGTGGTATAGCTCCACCATTTTTAACCTTGGCATCAGATAGAAGTGACTGGTAAACATCACATTCCTGCCACTTTACCACCGAGGAAAGAGCCAAAGCCATCCCTGTAACAGGCTGTGGAGGCCCATAGGGTTGTGAGATGCCGAGGCTGTCACATTTCCTAGACAACTGGCTCACAGATGGTGGTGAGGTTGTCAGCTTTATGTGCTGGCAACCCTTTACCCCCAGGAAGTTTCCTCGTACTCTTTTCCATTAGAGGCTGAGTCGACCCCAGGGCCATACAGCAGTTGGAAGGATTAGGTCAACTATAAAATCCAATGATCTCATCAGGAATCAAACCTGCAACCTGGCTTGTAGCATAGTGCTGTACACATTGGATAGGAGGCTGGGACAGCCCCAGAACCCTTCTGAACATTATAGAGAAGAGAAAAATGTTTGCACCTTCCAGGAATCAAACCATGGTTGTGCAGCAAATAGCCTAGTCATTATTCTAACTGAGCTATCCTGGCTCCCATCTTTTTATAAGGACTTCTAATAACAGATTTCTTCAAAAACCATCTAGCAGTTTTTAACTCTATTAGATACACAAAGTTCATTTGAAACATTTTTCAAATAGATATAATTTTAGTTATGCTACTATATGCTACTGGAGGCACTATGCCACAAACTGGAAGGTAGCGGGCTCAATTCCTGATGAGGTCATTGGGTTTTTCAATTGACTTGTCCAGATGTTCCGCTGATGCTCCTTCAACCTCGTGTCCACAGAACGGCCCATCTGCCCAATACAGACCTTGCCACACTCGCAGGAGATTCTGTATACACCCAGTGTCCTTAGTCCCAGGCTATCGTCGACCAGCCAGAGGAAACGAGATAATTTCTTTGGAGGCAGGACCACTGACTTGATGCTGTGCCGGGACAGCACTCTGCTGATTCGGTTGAATATAGTCCTGACAGAGGGCAGGAAGTCAACTGAGTCTGCTTTATCGTCAGGCTGACTGAGGTTTGGATGATGGTGAAGAACTCTGTGTATCTGCCACTTGTAACTGTGCTGCCTGAAAACATCTCACAGGAGCGCCAACTTCGCATGTAGGCTGTCCTGATCGTATATAGAGCTCTAGCCCTGTGCACCAATGTGGAACATCCGGACAGGTCAGCTGTGGCTGAACACAGCATTGATTTGGGACACTGCAATCAGCTTCAGAATACCTCCATCCTTGACACCAAGACCCGATATATGGATCGCATCATTAGGGAGGGCATCGAGATTGAACTCCATCCCGACGGTGTGAACAGAGGTGGGGTTTTGTCTCAGAAAGTCATGGAAGCCTCTTATGTGTTCCCTCAAGAAACCTCCAGGACATGACGCCAGATCCAGAAGGCCACGCAGGTCCATGCACAACTCCCATCGTAACCCCGAAGCTTCTGGGTTAATGCCCACCAATTAAACTTGCCTTTCTCCCCCAACACAACATTCTATACCTGCTCTGGCCGGCTACCTGCTGGCCCACCTCCCCAGACCCTTCCCCTCTCCTCTGTACTTATTTCCCATGTAGCCCCTTTCTCTTCTCTTCCCGCTCTTATACAGCTGGGTTTATTCTCACATTAGTCTATTTGCACCTGCTCATACTGGCTCCTCACTCGCGGATTTTCTTTTTTCTTCTACCCTGAAGACGGAGGCGATACATTCCTCCAAAACGTCAGGTAATACAATATATACATGGCACCACATCCCAGAAGACAGCTTTCTTCATAGTCACTGCTTTGAAGACCTCAAATCTCATGTGATTCCATTATTGCTACCTAGTCATCTATTGCGTATGCCTGAAACGTGTGACAGCCCTGACAAGGCATGACATTATCACATCCTTGGTCATTTGTCCTGGCACTTGGCTGGTTATACAGCAATGATGTCACTTAGTTTTGGTAGAAATATACCAACCTGGCAATGGAGTTAAAATGTCTTAACTTTCATAGCTGAAATCCTGACCTCAAGATAAGAAAGTAACAGAGCAAGCAGAAAATACTGCCATTTACCCAAATATATGCTGCACCCCAAAAGTCATATGATCTTGTAAAGGTAAGCTTATCCCTGTAACAGGCCGTGGAGGCCCACGGGGTTGTGAGACATCAAGGCTCCCACATTTTCTAGACAGTCGTCTCACAGAGTGCAGTGAGGCTGTCAGTCTTACGCACCAGCCACACCTTTACCCCCAGGTGATTCCTGGTACTCATTTCTGTTAGAGGCTGAGTCAGCTCCATGTCCATAGTGCGGCTGCCCCTCATATGATCTCATAATGAAAACAAATATTTTATGCACTTACATCATTTTTTACTTTTCAACATTATTCTAAACTGCAACGAATACTTGTTTTACCACTACTGCACCACTGAAAAGTTCCAAATCTTCCCCTCATTAACAGAACTGACGAGTATAGGTGTACTTCATACCGTTTACTGGATCCAGACAATCCAATGATGCTCCTTTTATCTTCAGCAATGATTCATAAGTTGCACCCCAATTTTAAAAGTGTCAGTATTTTTGTCCTGAGCAATGTTATATTCAGTTAAGGTTTCTTTGCAAAGTAGTGGATATGAACAGTAAAGTCAGGAAGAACCCTGCAAGTACCCTGAACTGATCCAATTGACTCATGGCATGTACAAATGTTTTAACAGAAGACAAACACTCTACCTTAGGGGTGATTCCGTCCCTTGTTCGGCAAGTGCTGTAACGGCCAAGTCCAATGACTCAGTGGCAGTGCTCCACGCTAGATCCACTTCAATTAAACTATGACTCCACTTCTGTGCTATCAGTTCCAAGCCCGAACCAGTAAGCCTTGTCACATAGCACCCTGAAATACACATCATACGTCAATATTTCTATCGTGTAATTCATAATGGGACCAAGATATGGTCCCTATTCTACCTTTCCAATACAAAGAGTATTTGTAAAAGTGTAATCAAACGCACTATTACATTCCAGCTACTATGGGAAACCTGTACACCTGAAGATGGCCAGTTAGGCCGAAACTTGTTGTGAAATAGTATCCAAAAGAGGAACAATGAACGACGTTGCACTTAGATGGCACAAAAACTCATAAGTTAGATCACAACAATATGACTGGAAGGAGTCAATGATGCTACCACACAAATAACAGAATGACCAAGGAGAATGACAATTTGTCATAAAGAGTCTCAGTCATCTCTTATCTGACAGCAAAATGTATGAAGAATGTCACATTTGGCTACTGTCCTGCAATAATAGTCCACTCAATGTTACAAGCTGTGCATGAAGTAGAAATTACCTGAAAGGAAAAGATGTTCCAGATCCCAAGCTGGAACTCTGACTAAACTTGAATCGGAAACCCGTGAACATCCCCGCACGTCTAACAGCTTCAGCTTATGGGAGCTTTTCACAATCCTTTCCACAGCATTGTCATCCATGACAGGAGTTGAACAGAAGCCATCCACTGCATTACCAGCAACACTCAGCTCCTCCAGAGCTGGGAAACCAGGGGATGCAACCTGAAAATAAAAGAAAAGCAAGCTGCTGTAGTCCTTTCCACATTCATTACATGAGAAATATACTACATACAATTTTATCATAAATTCATTAAAATCTATTCTTCCACAGAAAAGTTGTGTCACTTCAGCTTCTGGGAATACTGTGTGTAGAATAATTACGGAGGGCATGTTTCAATGTTTCGACGAACAATGCAGTTACCATCTTCAGAGGTACTGCCTTTGCGAGGACCCGGAAGCCAGCACACAGATCTGGCGGTGGGAAGAGCAGGGTGCTGTCCGAAGTTGACATCGTTGCTGAGGAAAAGAGGTTAGTATATTTGAGACGGGGTCTGGAAGTTAGTACATAGATCTTGTATCAGGCAGTCAAACTGCGATTGGACAAGCCAAAGAGCAGGGTGCTGTTCAATGCTGACAATGCTGCTGAGGTAAAGAGGTCAACAAAAGATTTCCTTTGAGACCTGGTAATCATGACAGGGTAAAAGGTAAAAAAGGTAAAGTTGTCCCTGTGCTTAACTAATTAAGAGCATATAATTGAGAGCATATGTTGGGGTGGATGTATAGATGCTGGGTCAGCCCCAGAGCTGGTCTGGACAAAGTAGAGAAAATTCCTGACCCCACTGAACTTTAACTCGAACCCCTCGGTCGTCCAGCCCATAGCCAGTCACTATGCCGATTACACTATCCCAGCTCCATCATGCAGAGGGGATGTAAAAATGCCATTTGTGATTCTGTGTTTAGGAGAGATGATGCGAAAGAAAAGAAATTCAGTCACCTCTTTCCTCCATCATGTGATCATCCATTAATGGATAGTTCTCTGCTCTTCAGCTGGTCCAGGTGTGGTTCAACTGCCCACTGCCACATCTACATACCAGCTTCCAGAAATATCCCCCCAAAGATACTAGCCTGTTCTCCTCAGTGACACTGTCAACATCAGACAGCACCCTGCCCTTCGCTTCATCTAATCACAGTCAGATCTACATACTCTGTCAAAAACATTTCTGAGGGTACATCACACCTCCCACAGGCAACCACCGAGAAGGAAGGTCCTGTGTTCGGTACGGACTCCTGTATAACACTCCTACAGATCATCGTTTATAGGTTTCAAAATTTAATACCATCCTCCATCACATCAGTAACATATTTATATCAGCATTTAATACTGTTGCTCTTGATGGTGTGGCATCAAAAAGAATAAGGCCAAAGTACATGACATTGTTTTATACCATAGTTACTTACGCTGTGCCTGAATGTTATGTCGCAAAGACCCAAGACTTTTTCATTCATAATAAACCTTGTAAAGGTACAGGTAAATTTGTCCCTGTGCTTAACTAATTAAGCATTACACCATGAAGAAGTATGGGGGAGTGAATCTGTAGATCCACATGTTCTTGATCTCCACACTAGTTGGAGGTGAGTGGTCAGCGTCAAGCCCTTACCACTTTACCACCTGGGAAAGAGCCCCTGGTACTCACTGGACAGGAGGTCTCAGCCATCCCGCCTGTAGCCAGTCACTACACTGAGTGTGCTATCCTAGCTACTATAATAAACCTTGTAACATGTAACAAATGCATTGTTTACAAAGTGAGACAGGACAGCTGTCAGTATAGCAACTAGACTACAGGATGGATGACCAAGAAGTCAGGGTTTAATTCCTGGTAGAAGCAACAGATTTTTTTCTATTCCACTGCATCCATGCTGCCTCTGGGGTCCACCCAGCCTCATATCCAATGGGTGCCAGTGGCTGTTTCCCCAGCTGCAGGGGCACAAAGCTGACCGCTCACCATTGATCTGGTGCCAAGGTTACAAATGGTGGAGCTACATCTCCACTTCCTCATACATTTTCATGGCATAATGCTTAATTAGTTGAGGCCAGGGATAACTTTACCTTTACCTTAACATATTTTCTGCATAAAAATTCAGTCTATCATAATAATACAAAAAAAACCTGCAAGAATAAGGACAGCTGTATACAAGCATAACATTCACAAAGAAGTACAATAAAACTGAAAGTAGTTAGTTTCAGTTCTATGATATATTGATATACCTGCTCCTTGAGAGTTGCTGTTGAAAGAGCAATCTGGCTATTTGTTATTCTCAATATTCGCAGTTTGTGACAGCCTTCCTGCAGTTTTTCAATGTGCAATGGAGCTGTAGTGTGAGCTACAGTTCGAAGATTTGATAGATCAAGAACTTGCAAATTGGGACAATGAGTCTGGAACAAATAAAGCACATCAGTCCCTCTTATTATACAAAGATAATGTTGAAATAGTTCAACTAAATATTTATGTTATAATTTTGTTAACATATGAGGTTGAGTCGGTAAATAGGTCACAAATGGAGGTGAAACAGTTGTAACGGACATAATAGGTTTTCTATGTGTATCACTAGGTAGCAGCACAGTCCAGCTTCATGATAATCTAGGTAGGAGACATGCAAGCGCATCTTCAGGGGCTGCTTTCAGTAGTCAAAATGACAAGTGTGCTTGAGGAGTATACTACCGAAGAGCAAGGTTCTGTTCTGTGTGTCTTTGTGGGCCAAAGGACTCAATACCAAGGATATTCATAAAGAAATGTTTTCTGTTTATGGTTGGAAGTGTTTGTCATGTAAAGCGATTCAGACTTGGTGGCAAACGTTTTGCTGATGACAGGAAAGGTTGAAATGGACTTGCAAAAGTGGCTGAGACAACAGTCTAAAGACTTCTATGCTGCCGGTTTCGATGCACTGGTAAAGCACTGGGACAAGTGTATCAATGTTGGTGGCAGACATGTGAAGAAATAACAGTTGTTTACAGATTTGAATATCATATGTTTTACCCTTTATATCCATTTGTGACTTACTTACTGACTCTCCCTCATACAGAACAAAACTACTGGCAGGTACTTGCATATATGTGTATATTTTACTTGGTTGGAGAATTCAACAATGTCACTCTATAAGTTTGAAGCAGGATAGGTTACAGCATTTCTTTATTGCTAGTGGGGTGGGACTAAGTCCCTTGTACTGCGGCCACTTCTGACCTATTGTACCAGCTCCAGATGATAGGTGAGGGTGATTGTGGAGCAACTGATGGAGTGAACCTTGGCAGGGGAAACCAAAGTACTCGGAGAAAACCTGTCCCAGCGCCACTTTGTCCACCACAAATCCCACTTGACCAGATCCGGGATCGAACCCAGGCTGCCGCAGTGGGAAGCCAGCAACTAACCGATTGAGCTATGGTGCGGCCCTAGGTTACAGCATACTGGACATACAGTTTTACAAACAAGCCGATTCCCAGCACCAATATTATTTACTTCATAAACTTGCTGTTCACTTGAGACTGGACAGACTGAGTCAGGAGAATGCTGTGTGTGTTCCAATTTGTGTCTGATAATATTAATTGATATCCCATTAACAAAAATTAAATACTTACCCAGTTCTCCTCATCCTTCCTTCTCAGGACATACAAATTTACACATCACATGCTCTCTCTGACAAATGGGGTCAACACACTGCTATCCTCTTTCTAATTCCAAAGTTAATGATATAATGTAAAATCTAATTAAATATTTTGAGGATCCTTACAGTCCCTTCTAAGATGCTACAGATGAAGGATGCTATGAACTACATCTCCATTGTGACAAGCATGATATCTCATAGAACAATACTGTCATATGTTAGTGAATAAACACAGGGGTTCGGATTATTGATAATGGGATTTAATGAACGCCCATAACTCATAACTACAAATAACTATAAAAGGCTCACTGACTTACTCTACAGATCACTATGACTGCAGCTCTGTTTCTTGTCATTCCTACGTAACAGCTGCTGAGAATGCAATTCCAGATTGCCAATCACTGGCTCCTATCTCAGACTTACAGTTGAACTACTGCTGCTGGCCCCTGCCAGCACAGTAATTCTTGGTTCTGAGTCCCACTGGGCCCATGATCACACTCCACCGTCTGATGGCTCTGGGAGCCTTTGGGAGTAAGTCCTGAAGGTTCCCTGAGCCATCAGACAGCAAAACATGGTCATGGGTCCCATGAGACTTGTGTTTTGGTACCTTTTATATAGCCTTGGCACAGACTGTAGAAAGGATCACATTGCCTAGCAATGGCCCAACAGTTCCTCTATTGTTGCATGTGCATTCATTGCAGCAGAAGGGTGTTTACATTGTTGTTGCCTTACAACGGCCATCTCTTCTTGCTTCACCATTCCTTCTTTCAGCCCTCAGATCACAGTACTAAATAATATGATTATCTCAGATTTAGCCCTTCAAAGACTGAGTTTCATCTAAATAAAAAATAAAATTTCAGTTCACCCTCACAGGAAACAGGCCAACCAATAGCATACTTGGTTGAGGCACTATGCTACAAGCCGGAAGGTCACAGGTTCGATTCCTGATGAGATTGCTACATTTTTCAATTCACCTTATCCTTGCAGCCACACTACGAATATGATGTCAACTCAGCCTCTAACAAAAATGAGTACCATGAATCTTACTTGGGACAAAGGCCAGCAGGTGCACACGGCTGACAATCTCACCACCATCTGTGAGCCAACTATCTAGAAAATGTGAACATCTCAAAATTCTATGAGCCTGCATGGCCTGTTATAGGGATAGTTTTATCTTTTTTCCAAAGGAAACACATTACATCTCTGCTACAAAGGCCAACCAGTTAATGCTGTTTAGGGAAACAATCACTGTTTACTGTGAGAACCATGAGAAAAAATACACTCTGCGGGCAGAATGCAAGGGCTAAGTATGTTGAAGCAGGTAGTACATACAGTAACCATTGGGCTTTACATGGTTTAGGGCTCTCACAGTGGTGACTACATTGTTAGGTAATGGCTGCTAACAATGCACTTCAAGACTGCCAACCACAGACTCCTATCTCCAACTGACAGTTGACCTACTCACTGCTGGTCCTCACCAGCACAGTAATCACTGGGATGTGATGTCATGCAGTCTGGTAGTAGTTCACTGACAGGGAGCAACATACTTTCACAGCTTGCATCCTGCTGGTTAGCTATTTGGCTTACTCTCTGACCCTGAAGATGGAGGGAGTATGTCCCTCAGAAACTATATGGCATCACATCTGACAAGACAGCAACCTGCAAGATAATTATCAGTTATGTTACATTATCATCTACTTTTTCAAAGCATTTTAGCTCTGATTACTTACTGCTATAGCTGTTATTAGCTGAGGTATTGCTGCAAGCCTGTTGTTTGCTAATATCAGATGAGTCAGCCTATCACCCATAGTTTGTGTTAGATGGCTTATTGAAAAAAGTGACAGAGCACTCCGTGTGTGGTTGGTTTCGGGCTGTAACAAGGAAATAATAATACTCCATTAACTACCTACAAACACCATGCCCATACATGTGGAACTGCTGAAATAATAAATTCCCAGTAAACACAGTGTAATGCCCTAGCGGCGCAGGGGGGGGCATGGAGGTATCCCACCCGCTGCCGCCACTGTAATGCCCTAGCGGCGCAGGGGGCATGGAGGTATCCCTCCCGCTGCCGCCGCTGTAATGCCGTGGAGCAGGGGGGCGTGGAGTCAGCCTCCTCTGCCACCACTGTTACGCCGCAAGTAGGGGGCCGTGGAGGTATCCTTCCTTGCCTCCACCGTCACTTGCTCTGTAAGGAGTTATCACAATCATCCTAGCTCACCCTGAGCTAGGATTCTCCTGTTCGGGGTTTCCTTTTCGGTAAACGCTGCCACCATCTATTTTCTTTCCTTTCAATTGTGGGCACCACTCCCTGACATATAGTTGTACCCCTTCTTGACCACTCCTCCCGTAGTTTACAGGTAGCGACTTAACACTTTATTAATACGCTTCATCATTATATCTTAAAAAGGGCGTTGCTGTCGAGGCTACCATACTCTGCCTGTGTGGCAGGAGCCTATCCCTGTCTATTCTTATCTTCGTCTTCGGCTGCCACTGCTGCCTGTGTCAGTTCGGCCCTCGCTCGGTCAGGATTACTCGGGATCGGATGTGCGAAAGTTGATTATAGATATGAATTACAATCCCGGTACATCCTATCCTATCTATCTATTTACACTGTTGTATTTACATTATTATATATATACACGATTTACATTATTTACATAGTACAAAGACTGTCCTTCAGTCTTGACTACATAGAGTCTTTACTACACATTCTGTTTCTTTACGTTCTCCCCCTTCAGGGGTGGAGGCCTGGAGCCTCCCTCTCTCTCTCTCTCTCTCTCTCTGACTTGACTAACGAGGACACGCAAGTCCCCCTCGTGAACACATATATTTTTCCTGTACATTTCTGATTACACATGATATATGATTACCTATCTATCATACGGTCTCTTCTACATAATCTACCCTTAGTTATATTTATATATCAAATTCCCATATACTATCTTTACTACAACACACTAACCCTAACCTTGATATATATACTATGAATCACTGATAGCCTGCCTAAGGTCCTAGGCCTTTACATGAATCTATTATCCTACCCTCAGGGCTCACTGGGTACACTGGAAATCGCACCTTCAATAGCTCACAACACTGTATCACCAATACTATGGAACAACGATATTATCAATCAGCATGGCTAATATGCGTAAACAAACCCACCTGTAGTACAAGATGCAGGCCCACTGCCTCCGCTGGTCAGACCCATGTCGAAGAGAGCCTTCGGCTGACAACCGAATATTCTGTGATAGAACCTGATCCAAATCCCCCGAAGTTCCCTAATTTATCGTTTTATTTCGCTGATTTGGCATTGACGGCAGGGGGTAGGTGACTCCCCCTCAGTGCCCTCAATCCTCACAATAACCTCCTCATTGGCTCTCATGGGTGGTTGGGGGCGGACCCCTTGCGTCTAATTGCAGCGTAAGCAGTCTCTCACGAGTAATCCAGTGTACGAGTGAGGTAAGCTACTGGCTTTGTGAGTACACCGAGACTTGCTGAGTCTTCACATTCTTAACCTAATTGCCAGTCCCGGTGTTTACAATTTACGGCAATAGCTGCGAAACTCTTTTCGCAAGTCTCTAGCTTTTAGATGATGGAATACCCTCTTCAATCTCAAATTTGGGGCATAACACACAGAGACACATGAAGAAAGTTGTCTTCTGGGTTTAGGCACCGTGCCTAAACCCAGAAGACAACTTTCTTCATTGTCATCGCCGTGAAAACCTCAAAACTTACACAGACACACATGTTCAAAATACTACATAGAGTGTCACAGGAGGTGGCGCCATATTCTGGGAGGTCACAGTATCAGTCATTCTTAGTAAAATGTATATATGTACAAGTGTCTTATTCCAAACGGTTCCTGAAATAGAGCTAGTACGCTGAGCAGTTCCAAAATCGTTAATAGGAAAGATATATTATGTACTGAAGAATGCTGTTTTCTGGGATGTGGTGCTGTGTGGATCTTGTGTGAACCAAAGTTTTGGAGGAAGGTATCGCCACCATCTTCAAGGCAGAAAAATCCGCGAGGGAGGAACCAGCTTTAGCAGGGGGCTGCAGCCTCCGAAATGTTGGTTCACACAAGATCTACACGGTGCCACATCCCAAGATGGCACTCTTCATAGTCACCACCGTGAAAACCTCACTTCTTACATATTACATACTGTTGGTACAGTTTACCTAGTGTAATACATTTTCAAAAGTTCCACCATCAACATCAATGAACTTTGCAACTCATGTGAGGACATGGTATTTGCTTATCTGAATGTATCTTCATGTTCCTTTATGAAGCTGATAACGTGAAATAGCACTACCAATCATAGAAGAGGACAAAAATGGAATCTAATGCCTGGCGATATAACTGTGCTCCCTGTCACCAAGGAACATAGAGACCTGGTCCTCCAAGCGTGGGGTTTGATACAAGGCTGATGACCTTGCTCTGTAAAATACTATTGTTGCAAAATCCAAAGATGTGAAAACCAGATGGTCTTATTCCTGATGAAATAGCTAAATCTAGCAGATGTTTCTAAGAAAGGATATGGCACAAAAAGGGCTCTTCAGCCAATAATTGGTGATAGTAGTGGTGGCAGTTGTGAATGTTCAAACATATTTTCATGGATACTCTCTCGTGTTCATAATTTCAACTGTTCAATATGAATATATGAAAAATTAATCAAAACAACCAAAAGTGTATCAAGTGTTTGAATAGTTATAAACTATAATGTGCTAATCAAACAATCTTTCACTGTTATAATTAATTAATTAATTAATTTTAACCACCAAACAGGAAAAGTACAAAGGAAACTTACATTTATACTCGAGAGATCAAGTCGTGAGAGAAGTGGGCAATTGGCAATGAGAAACTTGAGATGCTCTGAATTAAGGCCTTTCCACCCTGTCATGTTGAGCCCTCGGAGATCTTGGCAACACTTGGAAATAACATCCAACACTGGTTCTATTGGTGAAAATTTCCAGCCACCTGTCAATTAATATCATAAGTTTAGATACATTATACAAATGGCAATCACTGTCTACTATAAGGTCCCATCCCAGCATTTTCTGGGAGGAACTGAAGAAAACCATTAAACCTCAAATCTGTATAGCTAGTCCCTGGACCAATGGTCAAATCCAGGACCTTCCAAATACAAATAAGGAGAATGAATGATACTGTCACATGTTAGTAAGTAGACCATGGAGTTTGGAATGGTAATCGGATTTATTGAACACTCATAACCTGTAACTAAAGGAGTCTATAACATTTGCATGGATCTATACACACTATAAATCATTACTCCAAACATTAAGGCTTCTATGTCTTGCCCAGGCATTGCTAAGTAACGGTGGTGTTTACCATCCATTGTATGGCAATGGCCTGCATGTATACCGGCTGTTGCCTAGCAACAGCAGCATCTCCTTGGTCTAGTATTCTGGCTTTCACACATTATGTCACAATATGCATATCACTGAAACCAGAGCAAATGGTTACAGTGTTCTAATTTCCCTGTTGGTTACTTAGAACTGACGTAAAAACATAAAATTAAGAAATAAACATACCAACATTTAATTCCTGAACTCTGGTAAGCCTGTTCTCACAGAGCCATCTTACAGTTTCAGTAGTTTTGTATTTGTCCTTGATGCAAGGGCTGGCTAGATCAATGTTATACCACAATGAAGCTGACAGTGCAACATCTCGCCAAAGCCTGCAAACTCGACACATCCTGAAAGAACCAAGTCATATATATTGTATCTGACACCATATTAAATGACTTTCCAAGAAGTATGTGGCAATGTAATCACATTATGACAAACCTGAAGAACTGTTCAATTTTGAATTTTAGCTGTAGAATGTTAAAAATGTCTTTCATCAGCAGCTTCATTTATCAGTTATTTAGTATAAAGAATGAGCAACAAGGGAGCTACAAAGACAGGAATAAAATGTAAACCATTAAGAACAGAGAACAAATTCGGCATAATGCAGAAAGTGGGCAGATGTCCAAATATGAAACAACGTACAAATATAGCATGTATGGTGTTAAATGAAACACTGAACTAAACAACAAAAGATGGCTAACTCTTCAATGAGAAATAAATGCTTGTCCATACAATTATATGTTAAATGATGTTATTTAGTGGGTGAAAATATAAGCACAACAAAGAAAATGCAGACCTGGATATCACTAATGAGTGTGGGCTAGAAGTAAACACAGAAGAAACACAGTATATGTTATTCAACACATGACACTGATCCACTGTCTCACGTGCAACACATCCTTCTACACCTTAAACATACAAGGCATCTTTTTAAAACTTATTTAAAAGTTTCTGTACACTGCATTACATGATTCAACTGACAATGGTCATCATCAGGTGTTTAATAATTATCGGTGGAAACTGCTGTGATTCCATTTTGTGGTTTTAATATTCAATGTGCAGTCCTATCTATGTACTTGTGTATTCTATGGTGCTAGGTGGCCCCTCCTGTTGTGTTGTGTGTCTAGACTATGAGTGTCTACGCGTGATTTGTAGTCTAGGCACAACACAACAAGAAGAGCCATTAGTGTCTATGAAAACAGAAAAACAAACCCCAAAGCTCAACCTCAAAACATTTTAGGTGTTTATTAAAAAGCAGATTTTAATCCCAAAGTAGGGAGGGAAGACATTTTCAAACCAACAATTCGGAATGAGAGTTTACACGAAATTAGTAATGATAATGGAGTTAGAGTAGTAAACTTTGCAACAACAGAAAATCTTACTGTCAAAAGTTTGATGTTCCCACATCATTATATTAACAAATTTACTTGGTAATCTCCTGATGGAAAGAGGCACAATCAAATTGACCACATTTTCATAAATAGGAGACAGCATTCAAGTATTCTTGATGTCCAATCATTCGGGGCAGCAGATTGTGATACTGACCACTACCTGGTGGTGGCAAAGGTTAGGGAAAGACTGGTAGTGAGCAAACAAACAACACACAGAGTTCATTCGGTGAGGTTCAATCTCAAGAAATTAAATGCGGTAGGGGGTAAAGAGCAGTATTGTGTTGAACTCTCAAATAGGTTCGCGGCCTTGGAAAACTTAGACACTGAGATGGTTGTTAATAAAGCTTGGGAAACTATTGGAGAGAATATCAAAATGTCTGCCAAAGAGAGTCTAGGTAACAATGAACTGAAGAAGCACAAGCCATGGTTCGATGAAGGATGCTCAAAATTACTAGACCAAAGGAAACAAGCCTAACTGCAGTGGTTACAGGATCCAAGTGAAATAAATGGGGATAATCTGAACAATATAAAACATGAAACAAGCGGGCATTTCAGGAATAAAAAGGGCCAATATCAGAAAGACAAAATTGATGAGCTTGCAATGAACAGTAAGAAGAACATTAGGGTCTTCTACAGAGGAATAAATAACTTCAAGACGAGTTACCAACCTAGAAGTAACTTAGTAAAGGATGAGAATGGTGATCTGCTTGCAGATCCCCACGACATTTTGAATAGGTGGAAGAACTACTTCTCTGTTACTGAATGTACGTAGGGTCAGTGATGTTAGGCAGATATAAATACATACAGCTGAGCCATTAGTACCTGATCCTTGCCCTTTTGAAGTTGAAACTACCACTACAAAGTTGAAAAGGTATAAATCACCAGGTAGTGATCAAATTCCAGCAAAACTCATTCAAGCAGGAGGTGAAATATTATGTTCTAAGATCCAAAGGCTAATTAATTAGGAATAAGGAAAATTGCCTGATCAGTGCAAGCAGTCAATTTTCGTATCAGTTCACAAGAAGGGCCATAAAACTGACTGTAGTAATTATAGGGGGATATTGCTGCTATCAACTTCATACATAATTTTATCCGATATTATTCTCTCAAGGTTAAGTCCATATACAGATAAAAATATTGAGACTCACCAGTATGGGTCTTTGCATAACAGATCAACTACTGATCAGATCTTTTGCATTCGTCAGTTACTGGAGAAAAAAATGTGAGTACAATGAAAGAGTACGTCAGCTATTTGTAGACTTCAACAAAGCCTATAATTCAGTTGGGATGGAAGAATTGTACAATATTCCGATAGAGTTTGGAGTACCCACGAAACTATGTAAGCTGATTAAAATGTGTTTAATCGAAATGTAAAGTCCATATAGGTAAACAATTGTCAGGTAATTTTCCTATTCAGAATGGTCTAAAACAAGGAGATGCTTTGTCACCACTGCTTCTGAAATTTGCTTTAGAACATGCCATTAGGAAGGTTCAGGAAAACCAAATGGGACACATCAGCTGTTGGTCTATGCTGATGATGTGAATCTACTGGGTGTTAATATACATACCACAAAGAAAAACACAGACTTTAATTGATGGTAGTAAGGAGGTTAGTCTAGAAGTAAACACAGAGAAAACTAAGTATATGTTAAGAAAGCAGTCTTCTGGGNCTCTTGTCACCATAATGTAGGGCAAAATCATGACATAATGATAAAAAACAGATGTTTTGAAAATGTGGCACAGGTCAGATATTTGGGAACAACGATAACAAATCAAGACTTGATTGAGGAGGAAATTAAGAGGAGACTGAACTCGGGTATTGCTTGCTACCATTCAGTCCAGAACCTTTTGTCTTCTCATCTGCTGTCCAAAAACATAAAAATCAGAATATACAAAACTACAGTTTTGCCTGTGCTTCTGTATGGGTGTGAAACTTGGTCTCTGACATTAAGGGAGGAACACGGACTGAGGGTATTTGAGAACAGGGTGTTGAGGAGAATATTTTGACCGAAGAGGGATGAAGTTACAGGAGGTTGGAGAAAACTGCATAATGAGGAGCTTCATAACTTGTACTCTTCTCCAAGTATAATTAGAATTACCAAGTCAAGGAGGATGAGGTGGGCATGGCATGTAGCATGAATGGGGGAAAAGAGGAATGCATATAGGACATTGGTGGGAAAGCCAGAAGGAAAGAGACCACTGAGAAGACCAAGACACATGGATGGACAACATTAAAACGGATCTTAGAGATAGGATGGGATGGTATGGATTGGATTGATCTGGCTTGGGATAAGGACCAGTGGAGGGCTCTTCTGAACACAGTAATGAACCTTTAGGTTACATAAATTGCCGGGAAGTTCTTGAGTAGCTGCACAATTGGCAGCTTCTCAAGGAGGCCTCAGCTCCATGAGTGAGTGAGTGAATGTTGTTGTACTGCAGCATCCTGTTTCATGTCACTTATTTTCACCCCTTGTTCACCATCTCACACACAAACTTGTGTTAAAATCTTAATATTCATGTTTTTTTTTATTTTTAAAGTTATATTTCATATCACTGGTGCACTACTTTTTTCGACTGATTTGGCCATCATTGTGCGCTCTGAAAAATGCTGTTGAAAGCAGCGATGTCAAAAATAATTTCAAAATTTAAAAAAAAAACCAAATTTTAAAACTGTAACACAAGTTTGCGTGTGAAATTGTGCATAAGAGCTGGGAGGGGGAGAGAAGAATTTGAAGTATAAAATTATATTTCAAATCACTGGTGCACTACTTTTTTCAACTGATTTGGCCATTATCGTGTGCTCTGAAAAATGCTGTTGAAAGCAGCAATGTCAAAAATAACTTAAAAATTTAAAAAAAAAAAAGCAAATTTTAAAATTTTAACACAAGTTTGCATGTGAGATTGTGAATAAGAGCTTGGGGGGGGGGGGAGAGAGAAGAGGAACCATAAGCCTAACACTGTGGACATGTTGTTGGAGGCAGATTCTAAAGTTTGGCTTCGGCTATTTTTTTTACACATACTCTTCTAAGATTAGCAGCACTAACAATGCAGTAAATCTTAAAGTTACTTGGGCCACCTGCTAATACACAAGTACTACACACTGAGCTATGATTTTAAATGTCTTTTTCTTTACAACCCATGCTACAATATAGCATTGGATAGTGTGGACTGCATACCGACATATAATGACATCCTATATTTAAAATGAGTCGCGATAGTTCAGTCAGTATTGTGACAAGCTAGGGGCTGGGATTTAATTCCCAGCAGGGGAAATTTTTTTCTCTTCTCCACAGTGTCCAGAATGGCTCTGAGACCCTCCAGCCTCCTATCCAATGGGTACTTAGGGCAATTTCCTCAGGAGCAAAGCAGCCAGAAGGTGAAGCTGACAATCCACCTCCATCTTGTCCCAAGGTCAAGAATGGTGGAGCTATACCCCTCTCACCCTTACGTTTCCATGGCACAGTGCTTAATTAATTAAGCAAAGGGACACCTTTATATTTTGATATATATTCAGATGGGGCTTCGGGACATGCGGCAGCATAGTTCGTTGAGGCACTATGCCTCAAGCAGGAAGGTCATGGGTCCAATTACCGATGAGGTCACTGGATTTTTCAATTAACCTAATCCTTGTAGCCGCAATGTTGCCCTGGGGTCAACTCATCCTCTAACAGAAATGAGTACCATGAGCGCGTAAGGCTGACAATCTCACCGCCATCTGAGAGCCAACTATCTGTAAAATGTAAGAGCCTCAACGTCTCACAACCGTATGGACCTCCATTGCCTGTAAGAGGGATAACTTTATTTTTTACCTTTTTAGAAAATACTTTTCAGTTATTTTTCCCTCTGAAAGCTCTGGAACTTGCAAGGGCATAATATATTCTATTTGGTATGAATGAAAGTGTACTGAAAATATAACCTGATAAGGAACGGTAGACATCCTTCTTCTTGTGTGACCATGAAGAAAATATCATACAGAGCTTGTCTTGGTAATCGAACACCCCAATCACTCTGCTCACCAAATTCATCACCTTCTGATTCCTCACCCACACCTGGATCCTTCCACTTCTCTTGTTTATTGGAACCAATGTCCGATTCCTCATCTTCAGTATTCGAACCCTTCTTGCTCTTGCGTTTCTTTCCACGTTCCCTCCGCCTTGGAGGTCGAACCATAGAAGGTGATGCTGAAGATTTCTTGATTCGAATTTTGATGCCTTTCTGGTCAGGTGATATCTGGCTCTGGTAAGTAACAGGCTGTTTCTTCTTTTTGGCTGCACCTGGAGGACGCCCCCTTGCTGTTGATTCAACGCCCTTGCGTTTGCGCCCTCGAGGGGCAGAGTTTCTTCCTTTTGCTGTATCAGAACTTTCGGATGAATGTGCATTTTCTACTTCTCCATCTTGACCTTCACTTCCACTTTTGGGAGACTCCTGTACTTTCATTTGATGTGACACAACACGCAACTTGTTCCTAACATTTACCTGACGATCTGCACCCTTTGTACTTCTCAAATCATTGTCAATATCCTTTTGTACTACAGAAGACAAATCTGAAGAGTTCTCTCTCTCTGTCTCTTCTTTGAACTGACTACTTTCACTGTCCCTTAATTTATCAACATTCAGAGATTCACTGAAATTCATAAGATTCTCGTTGTTAAGTGACGGTGACAGATAAGTCCCGTTCCTTTCATTTTCAGAATTTGTAGTTTCTATAATGCTTGAACAAGAGTTCTGAGAATTAATTAATTCCCTACACTTTGAAGGAATTTCAGATTCATCTTCCCTTTCACTACATGAATTAACCATATCTGTGCAATTCTCAAAAACACCTTCCCCTCCTAAATCATTCTGAGTTGTCGTTTGAGTTTCCAAGCAATGGCCCAGTGAGTTATCTGCCCTGTCACTGCAAGGCATGTCTCTCACAGAATCCCTTGGCTCAAACAGAAAATCTTTTAAACACTCGTGTTCTGAATCGGATGTGCTTATTGGTCCAGCGTTGTATACATCTTGATGATGCTCAAAGCACTCCCCATTCCTGTCGTCCATATTGAAATGGCAGTATTGCTGCTGCAAATTTCAACTACATACTATTGGGGACATGATACTGAAAGTCACTTTATGTTGGAATCTGTAAGTGAAAGAGAAGTCCAAAATGAATATCTGACAAGTAAGTGGAACTGTAAGTATATTAAGCCATTGTACATTGAGTATTTTTACATCTATCAACACAATTTTGTATAAAAATATAGAAATATACATCATTTACATTAAAATCTTAAAAACACGATATATTTTTACCCTTATTGGGTCATCATCAGATGTTCTGTTCCCGCTTAGGAACTTATAATGATTTTTAATATGGATCCATATTTTGAATATGACTATATAACATGTAATATTGTTCTTGGTAACAAAACTGCTGGTATTATCTACTTTTTAGTACAATTATGCTGGTATTAGATATAATTTGTTAAATTACTGTATACCTAGTTGAAGGTCTAGTTAACGTCAAAATTAAGATTAAAATATATGTATATATCTATTAGTTATTTCACGGGTGTCCTAGTTGCTCTGGTCTGGTTCCTTCCTAGGTGGGCATGATGTTATGTTCACACGAGTTATCTCCCATTTAATTGGGTTGCAAGTTGGATGCAGTGGGACTGTCGTCGAGACGTTATCATATGGTATATGGGGATTTCCCATGTTATCTTGTAATTGGTTTCTTGGTCTCTGTCAGTGCAGATGTGTGTCAGATATTTATTTTCTGATGTATAACAGTTATACATTCAACTTGTTCATAAGTGCGGATTATAAATGTGTAAATGCTAAATGTCAAAATTGTAAGACCATTTAAAGAACAGTGGTTACTATGCATACCACTTACTTTTATAATCTCTGCATTTTTCCCACAGAAAGTATTTATATTTAACATATGATTCACAAAATAAATATCAATATCTAAAAAATACATTAAACAGCTGGTCTTTATAATTGGGTTCCAGTGTGCTTTCTGTGAGCTAGTAATTGAATTTTTAAATATTATTTTGATGAATTTTGGGATTAAAGGGGCTAATAACTGTTAATTATCAATAATGTACAAGTTTTTTATGAACTCTATTTGCTCAAAAATTTCTCTGGTCATTAATATGCTACTCCCAGTTGTCTTAATAATTTGAATTTCTTAAAAGTTGAGCAGGAATTATGATTACAGTTTGTATGAAATACAGTAAATCAATTCATCAGCCACAAAATATTTGTACAAAGAAATTATCTCAGTAATGCAATTTCAGGGATATGAATAAACACTTTTTGCTTATAACTATTTCTAACTGAATTCAAAAGTTCGGTTACTTTAGTGAACCAACTCAAATTTTCATCACCAAGGCTACCCAATGCAGTGAGAAATATGGGTACGCCCCCTGCGTTACAACATACGTCCGTGCCCAATCACTATCAAGTAGGCTGTTTACTAACACTGACAAGCGTCAAGGTAACGTAGGTATGTGTCAAAATGAAGTCCCAGAGAATCATTTGCAAAATTTCACAACAATAATTAACAGTAAATAATTTCAACACATACTTACTACAAAATCATTATATTATGACACGCATTAGCGAAATATGTCAACAAATTCGGCAAGTATATATAATTCTGACGCGTTTTTAAGTAGTTAGATACGATTTTTAGCATCAATCCGTATTTACAATAAAAAGGTACTTACCTGCCATCTTCAACTATCCCTGCACAAATTACGTCTGTGAGTAAATAAATTCTTCAAAACTCATCCGTAATCACTACTATAATCCATATAAATATCACAATGCAAAATCATTTCAAATATTTTACTGATCGTGCCACTGACCTTCGACCAACAGGAAGCAAATTGACAATAAGATTCTACCACTAGATGCCTCCACTGTCCTAAACTGTCAGGAAGTGGAAATGACGGTTGGTATCGGTTGGTATTATACTGTTATACAAACATATGTAAATATACGCATTCTGTTCCCGTAGCAGCGTATTGTTTCTAGGGTTGAAAGTATTTATAGTTACAGCGTTTCCGGTAAATGTAATGTAGTTATATACCTTATTTATACCTTGTTATGTACATACTTGATTTCGTTCCTTATTCTTGTCCTTATTGGTTCCGTTGGCCACATTGGTGTTGAAGTTGCGATCGTTGCGATTAACAGCGATGAATGACGTAAACATGATGTCTGCTAAATTTTCGTATGTTCATCTGAATTTTATTAAGCAAAATATGCCCCAGGGATTGACATGTAGTATTGGACCATGAAGTGGCAATCATGTATATGCGTGGTAAGCGGAGCATGTTTACCATTAAGGTTTATTTTTGATTAGCTAGAAAACAGTAAACTGGATATCAAACGCTGAACTAAGGTCTTTACGTCATCATGACAGAGTAGGCGAGAGTAGGTACCATACCATACGAGTACCATACGACAAGGTCGAGTTGTTCGCGCTCTTTCGTATGCGGAAACTGCGGAAGTCCTAGCTTCAAATCCTGACTAGAGGTCGGCTGTGCCGACGTTCTCATGGTTTATCTCACTCCCTTCAGGCAAAATTCTGCTATAGTACCCCAAATTAGGCTTCTACCGCATATTTTCAATCGTTCTCATTTTTTATTCTTTAATCATCCAGTCATATTCACTGATATTGTAGCCAAACAGACCAAGAACTGACATAGTATGTACCATAATAATGTCAGATTTTGTGGATCACTAGGCCGGAAATACTATACCTCTTACAAAACAAAACTCTATAGACCAGTGTCCTCAAGAAGCTCACAGTCTCTCAGATAATCGAGAAATTCCTCGTCTTTGATGGAAATCGTAGGTTCATTAGTGAGTTCACGAGAACCCATCTGTAGATCCTATTCTCTATACTTGCAATTCTAAATGAATTTTAATGTAAATACTAATGCCAGCAATTAATGTATCCTATGCAGTCTCCTCTCTAACACAAAATCCAGAGCCAAAAGATGTAAGACATATTTTATGCATTAAGTTAAGTTGAATCAGCTACTTATAATACTTGGTGGTTCTTATTACTTCATAATCAATATAAGTATAGCACCTGGCATGTCTCATATAAAGACAATCTGTGAAGGTTTCATGAATTCAGTAAGAAAGGAGTTACCTAAGTGTCAAATGATATGTGTGTATATATATATATATAGGTGTTATGATAAGGGTTACCGACTTTAGCAGAGTATAGAATGCACTTAAATAAACAAAAATAACCCATCAGCACTGAGCCATCTACTCGGATGGCTCAGGAGCAGTGCCTTCCAGCCCAGTATCCACCCCTTGCTGAGGCATCTGTGACTTGTTTACCATTGTGCCATCATCCCATTCACCACGTGATTTCCCCTTCCCTTCATATTTTGGAAGAAAGACCTCCTTCAGTCTTTGCTTACCATCAGTCAGGCAGAATTCTCTTTAGATTCTTCATTTTGGCTGTTGAGGGCAAGGGACCTCCTTGTTGCAACAATAATGTAAGTTTTTTGTTGGAGATGTTGCAACAAGGTTTTCTGTTTGGTATAATATTTTTATTTGCTTGAGCTTGCTACCGCCTCATTTAGTGTCACTGTATGACCAGATAATGTGGTAACATTGTGATCTGGGTTGTCTCACGCTGTTAATGTAGGTTCTGGTGATTTTCTAGGTCAAGGGTAGGCATACAGCTCTGAGTGAATGCATTATTCAATTTTCTGCTTGGGCCGACCAAGGTGGTCGAGGTCATAGTTTTGCAGCTGTTGCAAATGCTTATTCATGGTCAGAGTCACTGTTATATTTTTCATCGTTGTTGTTGTTGTTATTTTAAGTCATGAATTGATGTTTCATTTTTATTAAATACGTGTTATTTCGAGGTTCCTACTTTTCTTGGGGACGGCTTAAGCTTTGACACCCCGTTCCACCTGGGGAGCATTATGAACACGATAGTGGAACCGGGGATGAATGCAGCTGCCAACCTCAAGTAGAGTAGGCAGGAGCAGGGAGGAGCTACTAAACATATGTCCAGAAACCAAAGCCTGCTGAGATATGGGCAATGTTTGTGTGATCTGTACAGCAGATGATCTATGTGGCTCCAATGCATTTCAACACAACTTTCAGCTTTTTGTGCACAGAGATGCACACTCCACCAAAAATTCCTGGTCTCAGTTGAATCTCCCAACAGGCATTTTCTGCTTTTTGCTGTAATACCTCTAAGTCTCTGATCAGCACTGAATACATCAAAGTCATTACGTGTCCCCACAGCCAACAGTCCAGAGGACTAAGGTCAACAGATCACGCAGGCCAGCTGACTGGGCCTCCGCGTTCTGTTCACTGCCCACCGAAAATCTGGTTCAGGTGCTACGAGTATGAGTATGAGAGGTGAGCCATAATAACCGGCCCTTGCACCGTGACCTTCAATGATCTATTGTGCTTCCCCTTTGGATTAACCCTTTATTAATACTGCACTTCGAATGAAATGTAGGACTTTATTTATGGGGTTGTCATGAAAGTCACCTGGTTCCATGAAGAACTGACCCAGGTGGCGAAATCTTCGGTAAGCTATAGCCTCACAGTCACATAAGTTGTGTGTGGCTGATTCATCTTCTTGTAGGCACCTTTCACAAGTTAAGTCGCCTGTCAATCCCAGCTTGAAAAGGTGCCCTTTTAGGTGGCAGTGTCCAGTAAGTAATCCTACCACCGACCTTAAATGATCTCTGTTTAATTTTAAGAGGTCCCTTGTTGAGTCCAGTTAAGGAATCCCAGTGTTTTTTTGTGATTTCTGTTGGTCCAGTCCCTGATCGCTTTTTTGTCAACTCCAATTGAGATGCTGCAAGCTGGTTCAGGTCCTATGAATGGCTGTTCAGATCCAGTTCTTGCCAGTTCTGCGGTTTCCTGTGAATGTTAAATGTAAGGGGATGGGGGTGGTGGAGTGGAAGGGGCCTGTGATGGTGAGTAATGAGTGGCCAATAATGGATGAGGCTGTTTGTCCTGAATTGCAGGTGATGGAGGCATTTGATTGGTATGATCAGGGGAAGGACGAGGTGGATTATGAAATGAAGGAAGGCGTATGGACTCAGGTAGAGGAAATACTCTTCGGGGGGGATGAGGAGGACAAGGGTGATGCCTAGGAGTAATATCACGTATATTTGAATTTTAAGCCAACAGCGATGGGTGTATATAAGAATAGAAGTTGTGACCATTGTTTTTATCAGAGTGGTATGGAAGTTGAGATTACGCAAAGTTTGTGTTATATGCCACCTGTGAGGGTGGCATAGTCCAAGAAAGATTTGGTGGGTTTAGGTGCTAATTATTAGAGGTTTGTATTGAGGAAGGTGGTGATGTATTTTAATGCATTTGGTGCAACTTTTGAAGCATTTAGAGTAGTAAATAGGTAGTGGAGACTAGAGGAAGAAAACAGAGAGGATCGAGAATATAATGGCTGATGGAGATTTTGTGCACATACGTGGGAGTAATGATACAGACAATACAAGGGAAATAGTATTTGATGTGAGGTACATAGGGGATGTGGTGATGGATGCTGATTTTCTTTGTGTCGTGCTTACATATCACTTAACAGCCATATTGGATGAGAAGAACTTTTTATTATAATACAAAACAAAAACAAGTGAATATAGATCACTATTACCAACATGAACATTTTTACATTATTCTCAACATTCCTCCTTAATTTCAAAATGTTACAAACACATTTCTCATTTTCCTCCTTAAGTTCAAAACCTTGTCAACATTATTAGCAGTTTTAGAAAGTTAAATTGAATAACACTTAGTAATTTTGGTCTTCAGATTACAAAATTAGTACATGTAATTAAAATTTTCTCAGTCTTATCAAAATCAGACTTATTTCTTCTTAAGTATAATGTCTCTAAACTTGGTAAATTTCTCTGGTGATAGCGGTTTTGTTAAAATGTCTGCACCTGAGTTTCAGTGTTACAATATTTCATTGAGAACAGTTTCTCTTTCAATTGTTCACTTATGTAGTGATACCTAACATCAATGTGCTTACTCCTACGTGTTACTTGTCCAGATTCCATTAGCTTGATTGCACTCTGATTGTCGGCACACAGTTCAGCTTCCACCCTTTTTCCTGTCAACTCCTCTGTCAACGTCTTTACATATTTCAATTCTTTACAGCACTCAGCTGCTGCAATATTTTTGGCCTCAGTGGTTGATAATGCAACAATACTCTGTTTCCTAGAGCACCATGATATTGGGCCCCCTGACATCATAATTACATATCCCGTCACACTCTTCCTATCCTTTACATCCCCTGCATAATCAGCATCACTAAATGCTTCCAGTTTCACAGTTTCGGAGTCAGATGATGTATATTTTATTCCTGAATCTCGTGTGCCTTTCACATACCTGAGGGTCCTTTTCACATTTTGAACAGCTATTTTGTCAGGATTTTCCAAGGTTCGACTTTCCACATTTACAGCGAATGCCATATATATAGCAGGCTTCCTACAGCTTCTCTGTAAGGAAATCATATGTCATTTTCTCCTTCGTTATTTGTTGGCGGGGTCCTGGCCATGGGTGTTTTCATTTCTCGACTCTCTTGCATGTTGTGTTTTTCCAACATTTGGCTTGCATAATTGGTTTGAGAGATACATATCCCATCTGGTTGCCTCTCAATTGGTATTCCTAAATAGACTTTTGGATTTGTGGTCTTTGTTATCTGGAATTGGTTTCCAGTTTCAGCAAAATTTCCTCTATTTGTCTTTCATCCTCTCCCATGATCATCCCGTCATCCACATGAATGGCCATGAACAAACTCTTGGCATCATTCTTAAAAATGCATTGGTCAGATTTTAGTTGGTTTAGACCTTCTTCTTTTAGAAAGGTTGTCAACTTCTTGTTCCATTGCGATGGTGCTTGTCTTACGCCATATAATGCCTTTTTCAGGAGACATATCTTGCCAGTATTCTTGTATCCTTCTGGTTTCTCCATGTAGTTTTCCTCCTCAAGGTCTCCATACAGGAAGGCAGTCTTCACATCAAAGGTTTGCATGTTCATATGCTTATGTGCTGCTATGGCAAACAGTGCTCTAAGAGAATTAATGTCAACAACTGGGCTAAAGGTATCCTTGAAATCTATTTCCCCTTCCTTTTGTTGACATCCTCTCACAACCAGTCTGGCTTTGTGTCTTCCATCATCCTTTATTTTGAAAACCCATTTACTGGTCAGAATTTTCTTGCCAATTGCTTTCTCTCTGTTTACATATATCCAAGTTTTGTTTTGGTAGAGCGAATCCTTTTCCTCTTTAATGGCTTTCTTCCACTTTTCGCTGTCTTCGCTCTCCATGCACTCGCCATATGCATAGGTGAGCATACCCTCCTTTTGACTCTCTGTGTGATAGTCTTGGTATTTTGGGTGCATTTGAATGTTTCTTCTTGGTCTCAATGCATATCCATGTTTGTTTTGTCCATTGTTTTTCCTTCCATTATCCTTGTGGTCAGCATTTTCATTTTCTTCATCCTCTTCAGTATCTGTTGGTTCTTCTTCATTGTTGTCAGCATCGGGTTCTTGCTGCATTTCGCTATCTTCCTGATCTGGAGTATTTGGGTTGTCTTCTGGATCCGTCACTCTTTCCATTTCCTTTTGTTTGTTTGTTGTCACAGGTTTACTTGTGAATGTCACATGTCTGGAGACATAGGTCCTTTCAGTATTTGGACCCCATATCCTGTAGCCATTTGTGTTGTATCCAACGAATATTCCTTTCTTGCTACAACTGTCCAACTTTTTCAATGGTCCGAGAATTTTAGTGTACACTTCTTCACCAAAAACCTTCAATCCAGCCAGATCTGGTCTTTTACCATACCAATTTTCCGCTGGAGTTCCATTCACTGTCACTGTTGGACTTCTATTTAGTAGGTATCCAGAAGTGAGTACAGCTTCACCTCACATTCTCTTACTTAAACCTGAGTCAAAAATCAATGCTCTTGCCTTTTCCACAATGGTACAGTTCATCCTTTCAGCAGTGCCATTTAGCTGTGGCAAATATGGTGTAGTAAATTCCATTACAATCCCCTTGTTCTTACACCATTCTCTCAAGGCGTTGTTCTTATATTCCCCTCCATTGTCGCATCTTATTCTTCTCACTCTTGCATTGAAGTGACACTCAGCTTCATTTACATATTCCTCCAAAAAGGTATACACTTCACTCTAATTTTCTAACAGGAATATCTTACAAAAATGCCTATAATCATCCACACACGTAAGGAAATATTTCTTATTGTCATAAGTGGTGGGATCAATTGGTCCACACACGTTACTAT